TCTACAGACAATGAATGAAAAATATTTGTCCAGGTGGTTTTCTCCACAGATCGTACAACGGTGCGGGGCAGGGACGCGAGCATATTTTATTTCCATGCTGTTTTAAACATGCACGTCCCTTCTGAGATCACTTGGAAATATTTGTTGTACTGGACTGTCGATTTTCACGATCTCCTATTAAACTACCTGCCAGTTCATCCAAACGAGTCCAAACAATATCAACACTTGCTTCTATGGAGTTCGCGAGATCTTCGAACTGTGATTTTTCGCCCTAGGGTCTTACAGCTACAACGGTTTCAGTCCACTTAAATCTTAGCTGTAAAGATAGTTTTCTCGCAATGGACTCCAGAGTTCTACTGGAATTTAGGTCGAATGCATAGTTTAATTGGTTCAAAGTTGCTAAACAAGCTTGTATTTGTTGACAGAGGTGAATCAACGCTGCGGTGTCATCCACATTTATTTGCGGAACGTCGATTAATGCATCAATAAATGCTCGGGCCACCATATAGTCCTCGCCGAACATTTTCTCTATTTTTGGTTCTTCTAGGACCTTTATCAGCGTCTAATATCGCAAAAGGTCGTATGGCCTCCTTCACTTTCCGTGGCAGTACTGCGTCAAGTAAGTGAGACATTTGTGCAGCCTCTAGTTTTTCTCTCAGTTATCGACTGGAACTGTTTTACGAAAGCATCATAAAATTTCGGATCCCCGTCTACTTTCTGAAATTCACGTCTCTGTATATCCAGATAATACTCTGTGGTTCAGTGTTATCATCCGAACTGTCGAGTTGCTATCGAGTTATCACACAAAGCTTGATATCTTTATCCAATTTCTTTCCACCCTTCTTCATAAGTTGCAACTTTTCCAACCCAATGCGTCATTCATTTTCTGGCAGATATATTTTGGCAAGCTTTAGTTCAAGCCACTATCATTCTACGTTACTTCTTTCAATGTCGATTGATGAGACGGTCCATGAGTGCTCCGACAATTCCGGAGGATTAGCTTGTAGAATTTGGTCGGTGATGCTCGAATAACTTTGTTAATATTGTTAACCTTTTCGTAATCCAGTATCAGTTTATTCGCCAGAATGGACTCATTCGAGGTCAAAACAAAGTAGGAATAACTCGGATATTCTTCGTTGTTTTTTAGAAATAAACCTTAATATTAACAGAGCACGATAGTGAATAAGACAGGGTAAAACTCCAAAAGAAGGTGTTGATGAACGAGCAAACAGAATCCTACTTTGGGTCCCAGATCAGCACGCGAAAGCTCCATCCTTCTTTAATACAGGACCGGATGTAATAAAGAGTATCTAGTCTGGGCAATGCAAAGGAAATATAAATAAAAAATAAAGTTTATATAAGTAGAAAAAACAGGAATAAAATGAATATTTAAATAACCTAATATTTGTCAACAAAAAGCGCGCTATAATAAAAATGTTCAATTATGCAATTACGAAAATATTGGGAAATAACTAAATTAAAAAAATAACCAATTAAAACTAAAAGGAACCTAAATAAAAACGTAAACTAATGTAAGCTAAACTCACTTAACTAAAAATAATAAAATATAAAATAAAAGTAGTTAACGCAATAAGAAACTGAAGACTAAACTGAAAACTAAACTTAAATATAAGCAGGTTAAATAAACCAAATAAAATAAACGAACGTAAAGTTGTGGCGCATGTTACTTGGGAATGCGCGGCGCTTTGCGCTGCGAGGTATTCCGAACTAACTCCAGAACGGTAAGTTGGACCTCAGGTAAGTTGAAGTGGACGACCTCCTAATCACCAAATTCTTTTTTTCAGGAATATCAAGAAACTCAATAAATTCCAAATTCCACAGTAAAAATGTCCAAAATTTCCATAGCCAATAAACTATAAGGAAGAAAGAAATGTAAGCAAATTTCTATGTTTATTTATGGCGTGCTATTTGGTTGCGAAAACATTAGGTTTTTTAAACAATTTCTGGGACCCAATGTAGGATTCCACCGTCGTGCGAATGAGACAAACGCGGGGCCGTCAGTTTATAAACGAACGAGAACATCATCATCATCATCATCATCATCATCATCATCATCATCATCGTCGTAATCACCTCTTCTTCCAGCATCCACAGCAATCGCGCTGCAACTTGCTCACCGTTGTGTTGATTATGACTACAGGACGACTTTTTGGACGTATTTGGTAACCCAGTTGTCAGTGGCAAGGTGGATAGCGACACTTTATATGGCAAGTGCAGCTGGTTGGCTGCTGCGGCTATAGAGAGCTTGTGCCAGTCCGTTGCGCATTCGTGAGGGGAGTTCGGTAATGCTACTTCTAGTAACGCTTTCTGTTCTCTATTTAAATCTTCCACCTTTATTAGCTTCTAATTCTGCCAGGAACT